CTCCCTCTCTGGGATACCTCTCTCTCTCTCCCACACACACACACACACACACACACACTCTCTCTCTCTCTCTCTCTAACACACACACACACTCACACACACACACACACACACACACTCTCTCTCTCTGTCACACACACACACACACACACACACACCTCCCCCACTGGGTGGCGGGCCAGTCCCCTCACAGCTGGCTGGAAGAGGGCATGACACGCATCTCTCACAGAGATTTGATCAAAAGGAATCACAAAGGCTGGAGGCTCCTAATGCAGTCAGGAGAGACTCTCTACCTCTGCTCTCTCTCTCCAGCAGTTTGAGTAATGCATTAAATCAATGCAGCCCGGCACAAGACACACTCAAGCACTGGATACTGGGTGTGTGTGTGTGTGTGTGTGTGTGTGTGTGCGCTTTAACAGCCTCTGATCAATCCCAGCAACTTATGCTTTGCTCACCAGAATCTTACATGCTTCATCCAATTCAACGTTTTCTTTGCAGTGATTCAGTTGTCACATGTCTGCTTTAAATACAGAAAAAAAAATTCCAAAAAAACCTGGATGCATGTTCTCTAGAAAAAAAATTATTGGTCAGGCAGAAGGATGTGAAGGATTTTTCACTGAAGTGCTTGAATTCAAAACATTTAATTAAATACACGTTTCTGGTAATCGTGCCTCGCAACGCATGACAATCAGTCCATGAAGTTTATATCTACTGAGCTGATGAGGCGATATTACATTTGGTGCAGTCACTTGACATTTTAATATACCAATTACACAGCAGGTAAAAACATGCTGTGTTTAATTCATTACAGAGCAGGTTTTAACAGGTTTTGGCTTCTTTAACACTCAGAGACAGATGACTGAGTGGGCATCTCCTCTCCTTAACTACAAATTTGCAACAAGCAAAATGGCAGGAACTATTACTGTGTAGCTAATATAGCTTGAAATATTCGGTTAAATCTGTATTACTTACAGGAGATCAAAGCTTTATTTGTAAGAGGCAAATTTTATGAAGTCACACATGGGAAGCCCTCAGTCGTGCAGCAAGACCCAGAGGACGCTTATCAAATCAACATGCAGAAATTGGCTGGATTGCAGTGCTGCTGTTTGTAAGATAGCTCTTTTAAAGACAGAATTCGTTTTGCTGATCTTTTCCCTCAGGTTGCGGTCTGAAGTCGAGTTCGACGCCGAGCAGCGGCTCATTCTGGCAGATTCCCTTCTGCAAACTGCATTTCACATGCAAACACAAATCACTTCATCTACAACATACAGGGACATATGAGTGTGTTTTGACAGATTAACCGTTAAAATATAATTTCATTAATGCTGAGTATTAATCTCAGAATTTCTTGGATTACAATTTGCAACTAGATGGATGTACTGTTACTTCCTCTACAGTCAAAAATCTGGGTGTTATATTAGATAGCACATTTTGAAAATCATATTTCCCATGTTACAAAAACAGCATTCTTCCATATTAGAAACACTACCAAGCTATGAAACATGTTACCTGTTTCTGATGCAGAAAAGCTAGTTCATGCATTCATGACCTCTAGACTGGACTATTGTAATGCACTGCTAGTTGGTTGTCCTGCATTTTCAATAAACAAGCTACAGGTATGATGCAGCGGCTAGAGTCCTTACCAGGTCAAGAAAATATGATCATATTACCCCAATTTTACAGTCTCTGCACTGGCTACCTATTAAGTTCCGTATCAGTTACAAAATATTATTACTTGCCTATAAGGCCCTTAATGGGTTAGCTCCTGTGTACCTAACTAGTCTTCTACCACGCTACAATCCATCACGCTCCCTAAGGTCGCAAAACTCTGGACTTTTGGTAGTACCTAGGATAGCAAAGTCCACTAAAGGAGGTAGAGCTTTTTCACATTTGGCTCCCAAACTCTGGAATAGCCTTTCTGATAACGTTCGGGGTTCAGACACACTCTCTCTGTTTAAATCTAAATTAAAGACACATCTCTTTGGCCAAGCATTCAAATAATGCATCTCATAATCTTGTACTGCAGTTATCTCTGATGAAATGCACATTATTATTCTTTAGTTTGGGTTGAACAAATAAATTTTGATTGGTTGGAACAGCAACTCCGCTAATTATGTCTCTCTTTGTTTCTCTGTTTCTGCTGGGATTGACATCCCGTGGTAACTAGGATTTACACAAGCTTCAGTCTGGATCCAGAACACCTGAGAAGAGATGATGCCAACCCCTCAGAGGACCTCAGATGATGCCAACCCTGAAACAACATACAGAACTACCACATTTTGCTATAAGTTTGATTGCATCATATAATAATTGCTGTTAATAGTGTTCATTGTCTGTTTTATTACATCTTTAATTGATTTTTCTGTACATTTCTGCCATATGTACATTAACTGACAGTCACCACTGATAAGCTACCACTAAATATTGTAGAAACTTAATTTGCTGTAAAGTTGCTTAGCAATGATTTGTATCGCAAAAAGCGCTATACAAATAAACTTGAATTTAATTGAAAACTTGAATTAGTATTGAATTGCACACATTTGATATTGTGTGTAAACAACAGATGAATATCCAAAGAAATGATGCACCTCATGAGCTTGGTTTATTCATGTACAGTACTCCTAGATGTTGCATAACATGCTGCACGATTTTAGGCAAATATATCAAAGAATTTTACTGATCCCAGAGGAAAAAATGGGATACCGTTAAAGTGCATTGGCTGTTCATCTAAATGTATTTGACCCAATGAATTGAAAATACATTCAGCTTCTATAAACCCATTTACAATAAGACAGTGCTGATCAGAAACACTGTGAAATTACAGTCAACTAATCTGACATTTGTTTGTTGTCTCGGTTTCAGGTATTTTTTATTTAGTTAAGTTGTAAAGAGTTAAGATTACAGCTAAAATAAACCCTGTTTATACACATTGTTCATGCAACATTAAAGCAATAGTCCACCCAAAAATGGTCATTCTGTCGTAATTTACTCCCCTTTACTTCGCTCCAAACACTTGGTAAGTGCTTAATTTGTAAATGAAACATTGCCGGATGCAAATCAGCAGTTAAAAGGTGCCATGACCGACACTGACAATATAACTTCAGTTTTCCCAGAACATTCAATGGCGTCACTAAACGATGATGACCCAACTATGAGCATCATTCTCAAGTTTCTGCATGGACCTAAACATAGCCTAGGTTTTCAAACCCTGGGTCAAAAATGGGTCATCAGGATGATTTAAGGCAAATATTTGTAAGTTACATTACAAATAACAAAATTTGTTTCCATAAAAATAAAATACAATCTATATAGAAAAGGTATAAATATTCAAAATATATCTGACATAAATAATTAACAGATATAAAACAGATGTGAGGTGTGGCAATCCGCAAACAAGTTAACGGAAAGGAAACCGAGAACCGAGATGACAGAACGCTCATCCTGTTTGTTTGCTTAATTACAAAAACACAAACGTTCTTTTTAGTGTGCAAAAATAAAAGTAAACATTTACATTTACATTTAGCAGACGCTTTTATAAATAAATAAAAAGAAAACCGATAGAATAGAAAAATAATAGAGCATGCTAGTGTTGGAGGCCTTTTTTGCTTTTGTTAATTGTATAATAAATAAAAAGAAAAGAAATAGATAGAATACAAAAAGAATAGAGAAACTAGTGTTCATTTTTTTATTATTATAAAAAATTTTTAACACTTTGCGGGTTGTCTTACTCTTATCTGTATGACCAAAAACGGAGTACTATTTAATGTGTCAGCTGTTTGATTGAAGCGCATTTTTGTGTATGTGAAGAGGATGATTTTTTTCTGTCGATATGCGAACGCGCATGAAGCCTAGTCTACATTATAAATAATAGTTTAACATTGAAATACATTGCGAGTATGGAAACATTTGGATTTGTGCCGAATGAGAGATGTACGAGAGCCCAACGGTGAGTTCAGTTTCGCTTTGTTTTGGTTTCTAGCTTTATATTTTTATTTTCATTCTTGATCTGTTCTGCATACCGTTACATTTAAATTATTTGTTTTGGAGTGAGGGGAACTAGGCTATGATTACAGTGTTTATAATGTTTACACATTATAATATTTAACTTTATTTGGTATTATTTCTGGTATTTCTGGTATTATTACACTCTCTCCAAACGTTCCGCTGCTCATAAAAGAGTGGAGAGAGTGGATTAAGCAGTATCACCAATCAACGGGAGCGATTTTGAACTTAAGAAAGCTGATTGGTCAATAATATGTTGAGGACCAATACATAATCTACAAATCATGCTCCAAATACATCTACATAAACCCGCAATCTCTCTGTCTCGTATGCACTTGTTAATGCCGCAAAAATCCAAAATCTGACATTTTCCGGAACAGGATCCGGCAGGATCCGGCTCAAATTAAGCACTGCTCTTGGTGCTCTTGGGCGCTTCTATTAAGCATTAAAGTGAGCGACGATGTACTGCCATTGCCAAGAAAGAAGAAGATAGAAAGGTTTGGAACAACAACAAAGAGAGTAAATT